AGAGAGAGAGAGAAAGAGAAGAGAGAGAGAGAGAGAGAGAGAGAGAAGAGATAGAGAGAGAGAGACGAGAGAGAGAGAGAGAGAGAGAGAAGAGAGAGAGAAAAGAGAGAGAGAGAGAAAAGGAGAGAAGAGAGGAGCGAGAGAGAGAGAGAGAGAGAGAAAGAGGAAGAGGAAAAGCAGAGAGAGAGAAGATAAGAAGAGAGAAAGGAGAGAGAAAGAGAAAAAAAGAGAAGCAGAGAGAGAGAGAGAGAGAGAGAGAGAGAGGAAAGCAGAGAGAGAGAGAAAAGCAGAGAAGAGAAAAGCAGAGAGAGAGAAGAGAGAGAGGGAAAGAAGCAGAGAGAGAGAGAGAGAGAGGAAAGAAGCAGAGAGAGAGAGAGAGAGAGGGAAAAGAAGCAGAGAGAGAGAGAAAAGCAGAGAGAGAGAGAGAGAGAAAAGCAGAGAGAGAGAGAGAGAGAAGCAGAGAGAGAGAGAGAGAGAGAAGGAGAGAAAAGCAGAGAGAGAGAGAGAGAGAGAAAAGCAGAGAGAGAGAGAGAGAGAAGCGAGAGAGAGAGAGAGAGAGAGAGAAGCAGAGAGACAGAGAGGGAGAGGAGAGAGAGACAGAGAGACAGAGACAGACAAATAGGGGGTTGGAAATGAAGACTGGAAGATGTACTCGCTGCTGCTAGCCCTGGAGAGAGGAAGTTTTCTGTAGGTTTGATAATGACCAGGGTGCGTGACTGAGCTGATTGAACTGACAGCAGGTATGGAGGAGGAGGAGGAGAGGAGAGTGGTGGAGTTGTAGTCGCGTTCAAAGGAGAGCCAAGGGTCAGGGAACAGAAAAAAAGAAGTCAGTGGGGCTAGTAGATAAAGGCCCAAGCCTCAATGCTCCTAATAAAGGTACAAAATTTTAAGTCTGGAGTATGTATAGAAGAGAACTGGTTCACCCTTCAGGGTCTACAGAAGGGGTACAGGATCGGTAACTAAAACACTGTACCCATGGCTCTCTGAGGATGCTCAGGACTGACCCAAAGCCTGGCGTTTATCCTTTTAGTGCAGCTGTCAGGAATTGGACAGAAGGGGTCCTAATAATTGACCTCAGTGTCTTCTAGATGCCCCACAATATGTATAGGATTGGAGAGGGTTAAGTATCTAAAAGTACATAACTGATGACCACCATCCTGCAATCTGAAATGGACTTTACCTTACCTTGTATATTTACATCAATACATGTTCCTCGGAGAAGTAAAACAACTATACAAGCCAACAACTTTACTGGACTTGGAATAACATAACACCGAAATATAACATATTGCATTTGCCATAAAAACTGGCTTAATATAATAATATTTATCTGACAAATTCTCCTCCCAATACGCATTAGAATTCTATTTGACCAATTAAATAACAAGAGCTTCGAAAATGAAATGCAGTATTCCCTTACTAACTAAACTTCTGATAATGTAAAACATAAAATAGTTGTTCATTAAAAAATTCCTTATATGTGAAAATCTATCAAGTATTAAGTTTACATAAAAATAAATCTTTCTCCACTGACACAGCATACATCACCGGGACAAGCCTTGCTCATTCAACACGATGCCTCTCCTCAGAAGAAAGCTACAAGGTAACAAAGTCTGTATAAAAATCTAACCATCGCCATTCAGTTCCCTTTCAAGTACCTTCTGTGACAAACAATCGTACTCTCAGTATGTTCCATTTGATCTTTTATTTCAGAATTATCATAACCTTTCTACCTTAATAGAAGCATGACACAATCAGCACTACCCATGAGTTTAGTTTTGCAAATCACAGGTGCTACACAGACAGCAACTGTAAAATCCTTCTGTTTCCTGTAACTTTAGCTTAGCACAAGGCTGCAGATTAACAATTGCTGTTGCATCACCTATCACCTTAATTCAGTCATGGCCACAAATAGAAATAAGCAGGGAAGGAATGAGGGATACCTCAAGGAACGTCAATGCCAATTCTTGAGTGTGAAGGCTACTCCCGGGTAGGTGACTTTGCCCTTAGGCTGAGATTGGGATGGGATGCTGGCATCCAAGGTTGTTTTCCTTTGGAAAAGTGGAGACGACCCTCCTCCTGACTGGGCTTGAGGCGTGATGGTCGAGGTGCTGGGGATTCCTCTATGATCTACATTTTCTACAGTAGTGGTAGTGATGCTGGAGGCAGTTACACTGGAACTGAGCTGAGGAAGGGCAGGCTGTGATGGAGATAACAGGGCCTCACAAGGGTAACTCAAATTACTGGAGGGGAAGGAGTCAACAGACGGCGATGACACTGATGGTGATGTCCACGGGTAGTGCTGCTTCCTATCTCAGGAAAGGAGCGCGCGGATTTCCTTGTGTACGTGGCAGAGGAAGTCTACATAACTAGGAGCACCGTACATACTCTTGTCTTCTACTAAATAATTTCGCATTACCATTTCATGCTTTCCTTGTTGTGGAACCACAAACATCTGTTAGGATTAAAAATTGGCAAATTATTACGAATTCAATTAACACATGAAGGATTCATAAAAATGTATGCAACTGATACTTTTTTTTCTTATAGTTTTCTACTTCAATTCTATTCATTTAGAGAATTAACAACAATGTATAAAAAGCTCTTCATTACATACCCTAACGTGCCTCTTCCTTTGAGCACGAATTGTAGCAATGATATCCCGCACTCTCCTCGAGACAGGATTGTCCAGCTCAGGCAGCTCAGCCATGACAGGGTCTAGCTGGTGGGGAGCATTTACTCCAAACACATTGTCTAACCAAGTTGGAGAAGTGCTGGAACCAACCCAAATAAACATCTGGATTCCATTTTCCAGCAAGAATACACCATCTGGCCGCAATTTGTCATAAGACGTGCGAAGTGGAGCAGGAACTCCGGTGTTCTGCAAATACAGATACATAAGATGGTGTATGCTAATAACTGATATTCAGTTATTATAAATTCCATTATGGGAGACATGAAAACTTTTTGAATTAGAGGAATTTATGTTGAAAAGTTTCTTTCCATGAGAGTATTAGATTGTCCACATGTTACTTTTATCAGATATCTATTGTAATATTCATATTAGGCACCAGTTTTCAAGTTCAGCAAGGAAGAACATCAAAATATTTACAAAAAGAGGAATCCCTTCTAACCAAGCCCCTTACCTGTGGATCGTCATCTAAGAGGGGAATGAGACGAGGGTAATAGTACACAACCGATGCATCTACTGACATGGCCATCAAGAGATACATTTGCAACGATCTTTCATCACAAGTCAGGTCCTGGCCACCACTCATAGCATCACTCTTGCTCAGGCAGTTAATATAAAGTGGCAATAACTTCATTAATTCTGGAAGTATAAGCTGTCCAGCAGACGAAGGGGATGCACAGTTCTTGCGGTAACAAGCCAAGATGTTTGCTGTTCTGCTGATAAGGTCATCCTTTACCTGTAAATATATTAATATAAAATAGGGTGTGACATCAAAAAGTACCATGGAAGAATATTTCAAAAGCTATTAACACTGGGTTAAAATTTTGGCTAGTTGTCATTAACGGGGGTTGCTGACACGCAACAAATTATCCTGTTTGCGCCCTGCTTGTTCAGCAGTTTGCTGCCAACATTAGGCACCCAAAAGCTTATACTTTCATATCTCCATAAAATTTTTAAATCTGAAGATTTATCTTCACTATAGGTGCTATTGACTAAAAGTTTCACCATAGAAATAATGCTGCTACTTTCAGAGAAAAACAAGCCCCATCTGATGAGCCACCAGCACAGGAATAGTCATGATGTGATACTACCATTACTTGGTCCACAACCATCATATATAACAGTAAATCACATCCTTATTACTATTGTACGAATTTGGAAACATCAAATATAGAAGATAATTACCTGTTTTGCATTGGTCTCCAACAACCTCGTAATTGACTGTTTACCAAAGAAGTTCATTAGAGTATCTAAGTCACAGTTCTTATAAAGGTCAGCCATTTGAGTGCAGATATTAAGAGCCATATTTAATATACGCAGTCGCCTCTGGCCATTGCAAGAGGTATATAGCAAGGCCACTTGAATATATACTCCATCTTCCTCTGTCAGCTTGTCATCATGCTTCACTTCTATTGCAATAGCTTTACTGGCATCTATGCTTGCTAATTCTATGTCAGTGGTGTTCGACATGAAGAAATGGCCAAAGAAGTCCACAGGTCGCACACCTTGTGACGTTCTAACCCGCATCACAGCATCAAAAGCGATATTTCTTCCTATGTTAAGTTTAAGGTCCTCCAAAAGCCTAGGACCATCTTTGTTGGACTGGAAGAAAGTATACTTGTAGCTTTGGCCCCCAGTTAGTCTAGGTACTTGGCCAATGGTTGCTAAGTCTACATAGCCATCATTAAATACATATAAATCAACAGAGCAGCCAGCAGCAACCAAATCTTGGCCAAGATTATTGTAGTAGCTTCCTTGTGGTGTCAGCACACTTTTCTCTTTCTCTGTGCCAAGAAGTTTCCTCTCCTCTCTGTTCTTTAAGCTGCCAGGGCCACCACCCACAGGCAAAGAGGAATGGAAAACAATCAACTTGCCAACCCTACCAGAGGCCTGCAAGGCAGCCATCCCTGCCTGAATGGCACAGCCAAGGGCACCCGAGGTCTCACGTGTGGCCTTGAAGTTGTCTGGAATACTTTCCATTAATTTATCAATGTTATCTGCAGCCTCCTGAGGGCTACAGAGAACTCCTCCAGGCACTGGTACAAACATCTCATCACGATCACAGACGACACACATTTCTGGGGCCTGTCCATCAAGCTTGTAGACGTGAACTGCAGAGTCATAAGTGATAAAGCCAACCTTCATCCGTGATTCAGTGTCTGGAGTGCCATTAGCACAGTCCCGCGGCAAGTGCTCCAGAATGGACTTCATATTCTGGCATAAGAGATGAATCACTCCTCGCTGCATCATCAGCAGACTCATCTCTATGACGAAGATGAAGGCAGGCTCCTTAGGCAATTGCTTGTCCTGGAATGGGAAAAGGCGCATCACAGTTCATTGTCTTACTCTCTCTTCTCTTACATTATATTTGTGTAGATTTGTAAATGTGTGTGTGTATGTGTATATGTATATATATATATTATATATATATATATATATATATATATATATATATATATATATATATATATATATATATATATATATATATATATATACAATCCAAAATATAATTTTACAAACATATATCCAAACATATACATACATATGATATAAAGAGAAAAACATTACACACACACAAATGTGTACATACACACACAAAAGTGCACACACACACACACAAAAGTGCACACACACACACACAAAAGTGCACACAACACACAAAAGTGCACACACACACACACACAAAAGTGCACACACACACACACAAAAGTGCACACACACACACACACAAAAGTGCACACACACACACACACAAAAGTGCACACACACACACACAAAAGTGCACACACACACACACACAAAAGTCACACACACACACACACAAAAGTGCACACACACACACACAAAAGTGCACACACACACACAAAGTGCACACACACACACAAAAAGTGCACACACACACACACACAAAAGTGCACACACACACACAAAAGTGCACACACACACACAAAAGTGCACACACACACACAAAAGTGCGCACACACACACAAAAGTGCACGCACACACACAAAAGTACGCACACACACAAAAGGCACACACACACACAAAAGCACACACACACAAAAGTGCACACACACACACAAAACACACACACACACAAAAGTGCGCACAGACACACAAAAGTGCACACACACACACAAAAGTGCGCAAAGACACACAAAAGTGCGCACAGACACACACAAATGTGTACAAACATATAAAACATACAACACACACACACACACACACACACACACACAAATGTGGGTACACACACACACACACAAATGTGGGTACACACACACACACACAAATGTGGGTACACACACACACACACAAATGTGGGTACACACACACACACACAAATGTGGGTACACACACACACAACAAATGTGGGTACACACACACACACACAAATGTGGTACACACACACACACACAAATGTGGGTACACACACACACACACAAATGTGGGTACACACACACACACAAAATGTGGGTACACACACACACACAAATGTGGGTACACACACACACACACAAATGTGGGTACACACACACACACAAATGTGGGTACACACACACACACACAAATGTGGGTACACACACACACACACAAATGTGGGTACACACACACACACACAAATGTGGGTACACACACACACACACAAATGTGGGTACACACACACACACAACAAATGTGGTACACACACACACACACAAATGTGGGTACACACACACACACACACAAATGTGGGTACACACACACACACACAAATGTGGGTACACACACACACACACAAATGGGTACACACACACACACACAAATGTGGGTACACACACACACACACAAATGGGTACACACACACACACACAAATGTGGGTACACACACACACACACAAATGTGGGTACACACACACACACACAAATGTGGGTACACACACACACACACAAATGTGGGTACACACACACACACACAAATGTGGGTACACACACACACCACAAATGTGGTACACACACACACCACAAATGTGGGTACACACACACCACAAATGTGGGTACACACACACACCACAAATGTGGGTACACACACACACCACAAATGTGGGTACACACACACCACCAAAATGTGGGTACACACACACCACAAATGTGGGTACACACACACACCACAAATGTGGGTACACACACACACCACAAATGTGGGTACACACACCACAAATGTGTACACACACCACAAATGTGTACACACACACAAATACAGTGTGTGTGTGATGCGTGTGTGTGTGTGTGCACGTGTGCGTGTGCGTGTGTGTGTAAATAATAAGTTCACTATACATAGCAGCCATAAAGCAGTCTCTCCTAACCACACAAAGATGTACTTACTCGACAATATTCCGGTGTGGCAATGTATTCGTAAGTACCACAGCACAACTCTGGCCGCTGATACTTGTCTGCACGTGATCCTTGGCCATCCATGTGACAGAAATATTCTTTTGGCACTTCCACTACACCACGGCACAGTTTGCACTGGTATCTGAAAGACAACTTTCTTAATAAATAATGGATCAATAAAAATAAATTAAAATTAATAAGTGTGTGAGGAATGTAAAACATATCAACAAAACACACTTTCAGACCAATGAGCAGAATGGTGGCAGTCAGGTGAAGAGAGAAATGTGTACACAAAGGGAAGATAAAGAGAAATGGTCAAATGAGGTTATACCATGCAAGTGAAGGAATGCAATCCTACTTACTTCCTTCCACCATCCATGAACTGCATGAGAGGACTCATATAGCCCTTGCACCTGTTGCACCTGACAGGACCCGATTCTAAGCTGGTTCCAATATACAAGGCACTGTCATGGCTGCCCACCTGGGCCAGGGGGCTAATGACAAGGCCAAAGGGAACGTGAGTTTGTTTTATCATATCTGGGGTGTGAGGGATGCTGTACATTGTCGATCTAAGGTAATGTGGCGATGCATTGCCACCATCCTTTACTGTGAATTCCGTTGTCACCAGAGGTGGAACCTGTCCCTTGATGTTAGTTATGAACTCTCCACTTCTGCATCGACTGTCCTCTTCCATGACCTGCAAAGGACTGGGCATGTCATCTGGGTTCAGCCTGCGCCCTTGGCTTTGAGGTGCGCTGGGGTAGCCCCCTGCACCTGGCCCTGCTCCTGAGCCTGGGTACCTGGACTGCATGCCACCTCCCATACCATTGACCGGAGGGCCACCTGCACTACTTGTAGGAGGCATGTTTGGTCTGGGTCCTGGAGGCATCCCTGGCCCAGGTGCCATCCCTGGTCCTGGCGGCATCCCAGGACGGGGAGGCATCCCAGGTCCTGGAGGCATCCCTGGACGAGGGGGCATCCCTTGTCCCGGGGGCACGCCAGGACCTGGGGGCATCCCTTGTCCCGGGGGCATCCCTTGTCCGGGGCATCCCTTGTCCCGGGGGCATCCCTTGTCCCGGGGGCATGCCAGGACCTGGGGGCATAGCAGGCCCTGGGGGAATACCAGGGCCTGGGGGCATACCAGGTCGTGGTGGTACACCCATAGAAACAGGTCCTCCAGGCTGAGGCTGAGGTCCTCCCATGGAAGATGGAGGAAACCCACTTGGACGCACTCCTGCTGGAGGTCCTGCCATTGACACAGGTTGGAAGCCAGGCTGCCCACCTGGTGCACCAGCCATTGACGAAGGAGGCATGCCAGGCTGCCCACCTGGTGCACCAGCCATTGACGAAGGAGGAAAGCCTGGCTGCCCAACTGGTGCACCAGCCATTGACGAAGGAGGGAAGCCTGGCTGTCCACCTGGTGCACCAGCCATTGATGAAGGAGGCATGCCAGACTGCCCACCTGGTGGGCCTCCCATCGATGATGGAGCAAAACTTGGCTGTCCTCCTGGAGGAGCACCCACTGTTGTTGGGAACGAGGGTTGTCCGCCCATTGGACCAGCCATAGATGATGGTGGGAAATTAGGTTGTGTTCCTGATGAAGGAGGGTAAGGGGGCTGCCCACCAGGGGCACCTTGCATAGGTGAATAACTAGGCTGCCCTGCCCCCACAGGGCCTGACGCAGACGACGGGGGGAAGCCAGGCTGTGCAGGGCGAGGAGGAGCTGTCATCTGAGGAGCCATTGGTCTTGGGGAACTTCCCTGTGGCCCAGAAGCTCCGGGTGGAGGGTGTAGGATGTCGTAGTCCTGTTGGTGACGCTCCAGGTACCCCTGAGGGAGGGCCAGTTGGTGGCCCACCTGCTGTGTTAGGGGTTGGACCAGGAGGACCATTCTGAAGCCCACCTTGAGGAAGACCATTAGCCATTGGTCCTGGTCCTGAGGGGTGTTGTTTCATCATGGGCTGAAATTAAAGGGCAAATATCATCATTTCTTCTTTTTACCTAAACAAAAAAGGCTTCATATTCAAAATTACTAGTCATAACTTGTATTCTCATTAAACAACTGCATATTAAAATTCATGCCATCTGTTAAAATTACATGGGTCTTTAAAAGTTCTGGTGATAATTTATGGTGCATTTTTGAGAAGAAGAAATAAATAAATAAATATATATATATATATATATATATATATATATATATATATATATATATATATATATATATACATTTTTTGCTGTTTGCCAATGCCCTTATTTGATTTAATGTATCCAGATGGTAATAGATTGTTTTCCTTGCACAGACTAATTATCATAACACAGTGCAATAATAATAACAATAAATAAAAAGTTACATGTCTGTTTTTTTCAAATTTCTATAATACAACTAGCACTGCCAGTCACAGCAGGCAAAAACAGAATCCTAAGTATCCTCTAAGAGCTTTTTGCACTTGTGGCAAGTCATTCCCATCAACCCAGTCTTCAGTCAAATTCTTACAGAGGCAAGTTCCCGTCACCTCAGCCCAGAGGAAAATTGTTATTATTAGCATGCCACAGGAATTAACACAGACCATAAGAATATGATGAACAGACACACCATTTATCCCATACTTCAAAATGTTGGAGCCCTTTTCCTTTTCTCCATTAAAAAAATTAATGGCCTACCTTTATATTATACATATCTATCCATCTATCCATTTATCCATCTATCCATCTATATTATATCATTTATATCTATAAAATATATTATCTATCTATCTATCTATCTATCTATCTATATACATATTATATATATATCCTATATATACATAAATATATTATATCTATCTATATTATACAAATTTATACATACATATTATACACATCTATAGCTATATCTCTATATATATTATACATAGCTATCATAGACATCTATATTTATAAATAAATAATATATTTAGACAGTTTCTCTTCATGGCATGTTTTGATAATAAAGTAAATTCCCTCAATAAATCAACATTTTTTGATAGAGTTATGTGAAGAATACAGGTTTCTTTTTCTGTCTCTTTCCTCGTGTAAAACACTCATAATATCTATACAAAAAATCTTGTCATCACAAGGAAAAAATATATAACAATCATCAAATTATCCGTACTCATGCAATAATAATTTTAAAAAATGAAAATAAATGCAGTCTCATAAGGCATCTCATAAGATGGCCATCCTCCACAGGATAGCCACCTCTACGCTACTGCCCCAAGTGGCCAGGCTTCACTCACCCCTGATGGCATGCCCTGGGGAGGGCCAGCTGGTGGGCCTAGATTCATTCCTGCCATCTGCTGATTCATCCCTGAGAATGAGGGAGGGCCAGGAGGGGGGCCACCTGGAGGGCCAGGAGGGGGGCCACCTGGAGGGCCAGGTGGGGGGCCACCTGGATGGCCACCTGGAGGGCCACCTGGGTAGGCACCAGGAGGTCTTGCTGGGGGTCTGTAAGAACCTGAATGAAAAGGAATGTATCAGACTGGAGTTCAATAAATTCTCTACCTCATAAAAGGTTTTGAAAAATACAGTTCAATCTCCTGCCTACATGAACTTAGACAGAACTCAAGTCCATCATCTGACAAGAACAAGACAGAAGCTTTACTCTAAAATTCTATTTTCCAGGAACAGACATAATTCAATTTCAAATTGTGGCAAGTACATAGAGTACCCTTCATAGTCCATACTAAGCTTTCATAATGTTTAGACAAAGAAAATGTGTATAGTTCATGCAGTCTTAACCCCCTTCATCCTGGGATTTGACGAAATTTGTTAAGGTGGCCGGTTAATTTTGGCCAGTAGTGTACATACATATTTACATATATGCATACATGTCTATATACACATACATATGTCTATATACATATACATATGTCTATATACACATACAAATGTCTATATACACATACAAATGTCTATATACACATACAAATGTCTATATACACATACAAATGTCTATATACACATACAAATGTCTATATACACATACAAATGTCTATATACACATACAAATGTCTATATACAATACAAATGTCTATATACACATACAAATGTCTATATACACATACAAATGTCTATATACACATACATATGTCTATATACACATACATATGTCTATATACACATACATATGTCTATATACACATACATATGTCTATATACACATACATATGTCTATATACACATACATATGTCTATATACACATACATATGTCTATATACACATACATATGTCTATATACACATACATATGTCTATATACACATAAATATGTCTATATACACATAAATATGTCTATATACACATAAATATGTCTATATACACATAAATATGTCTATATACACATAAATATGTCTATATACACATAAATATGTCTATATACACATAAATATGTCTATATACACATAAATATGTCTATATACACATAAATATGTCTATATACACATACATATCGTCTATATACACATACATATCGTCTATATATACATACATATGTCTATATATACATACATATGTCTATATATACATACATATGTCTATATATATTTACATACATACACATACATACATACATGTCTATATATATATACATACATATACATACATACATACATACATACATACATACATACACATACATACATATGTATATAAATACATACACACACATATATGGATATATAGGTACAATGGTGGTTTCATACTTAAAATTCTCACTGCACCCTAACAGACTACAGTTGTCTTTTACATTACCACTAATCATCCTTAGTATATGTATCAGAAATAACAAATCTAGTCTTACCCAATTACCCGCTCACCATTCTAATTACTATTAAACCAAGTATTTTGCTTGGCCTGAGCACAATGGACAGCAAGGGTAAATAGAACCAGGGTACACAAAATCTGACGAAAGTACAGAGATGCTTTCGACACCATCAGTTGGGCATTCTATTCAAACTAAGAATGCCATGAAATGCCCCTTGGACAAAAATTAACAAAATCTTGCCAAATTTAGTTAAGAACTACTTAATGCAGTATACAACACTTAAAAGGCAATAAATTTAAATGAGTACTTTAACACGGATATTTCTTTTCGTGTTCCTGAGAATACTTAGAATAAGAAGTGCATCCTTAACCCATCAGCGACAGGTAAAAATTTTGTCAAGTTTACGTATGCATCGGCTTGTTGGCGCGCACTGGCAGTTTCCCGTTTGCGCCCGGCTCGATCGGTAGTTTGCGAGCGACATATAGCACCTAAAAGCTTTTATTTTTCTAAAATTTATAAAAATATTAAAATTTTGAAGGTTTACCTTCACTTTAGGTGCCATTGCCTAAAATCTTTACCATATAAATGAAGCCGCTACTAGTGGAGAAAAACAACCTCCGTCTGACGAGCCAGTAGCGCGGGAATGGGCATGGCATGATGCCCCCGGCGTTTGGTCCCCAACAGCCATGGCATGTACGTACGTGACACCCAGCGCCAATGGGTTAAGGTAACATCAAATTGATATTCTATGTATCTTGAAATATTTTGTACATTTCTCTCAACACAACTTGAAAAAAAAAAAAAAAAGTTTGGAAAAAATAAAGGGAAGGAAAAGAGTTCAAAAGGCTTACCTGGAGGGCCAGGGGGGGGAATCCCACCCATTGGCTGTGACGGCAGCATGGCTCCGTACAAAACCTGAAATCACAGATTCTGTTAGTTATGAAACATTAGGATACAAGAACTGACTTGTGTGAAGATACCACATAACTGGTTTGGCTTAGACATTTTTGAGTTACAATCTACTGAAGGGACATCATTATTGTCAATAAATCAAAGACACTGGGTGACCATAAATAGCATCAACAACAAAATTAATGTCTAAAGGCTAAAATTCCTCTGCCCATCCTCAACCTTCAACAATAAACCTCAATTCTTTTATATTTCACATCTGTCAAATTTGGTCCCTGATGTTACAGAGCTCAATTCTACACACCATCCAGGAAGCTGGCAGCATACCTAGTCAGATAGGAAGAAGTATAGGGATGGGCAAATAATGCTGTGGCCTTGCAGCTGGAGGAAAGAAGCCAAACAGTATCTAATACATTGCCTTCACCTTACTATATCATGTTCATACCACAATATAGGCAGACAAATTACCTGTCAGTTTTATATGCCGCTATGTCAATACAACTCAGATTCATGTACAATTTACCAACATGCTCAAGTATTCAACCATCAACTACAGCTGGCAAGTTATTGAAGATCATTCTCTTGTAAACATACAAAAACCCAGAAAAACAAAATATCTAAAAAAAAATACAAAGGACCACATGTAAGTTAAAACTAAATATAGTAATAAAGAAAGTTCTTAAAAGCCCTACATGTATAAATAGCTTTTCTAAAGAGTTACTGACAGAAAACATAGCTGACCCTAACACTGGTCAATGCCTGTTCCAAGCATGAAACAAAATTAGATATTATTAACCCAATGATGCCAGGATGGGAAATATAAATGTCATATTCACTAACCTTAACTTCTTGATTCTGTTTACAAATAAATGGCTCTGCAAACTCAGGGTCATCAAGGAATAAAATAGGAGACCTTACCCAATTACTGTATTCCTTGAATTTTTGGGTAAATTTCTTTCTATGATTTTGAACATTATAAACTATTACCATTACCATTATTGACATCATTATCAAATCCACTACTAGCAATAATTTAAAACATATCCAAAAATCCAAGAGATGTGTAAACGGGCAAGATCAGGTAGGACAAGGCATTGACTGCTTGGTGTCTGTACTTTTGTGAACTAATCTTTGTATAAACAAAATCAATACAGTAAAATCACATTTGATATGCAATGGATAAATGCCTTCCCATCCTCAAGAAAGTAAATACATGCTATTCACATTTATATATCTATATCCATCTCTTTCTACATCTAAATGTTTATGTACACCTATATACATTTAGATTACACAAGAGGATTTAAGAAAGAAGGAAGAAAAAAGTAATCATAGCACCTCTTTCAAAAAAAAAAAAATCATTACATTATATGGAATGAAGAAAAAGGCACATGTGATATACATCCAATGATGAGGAGCACAATACAAATACAATTTTCTTTCTTATTTTACATATTGCACCCTCACACCTAATATGACATCTAACATATTCAAAATTATTCTTGCCACCCCATGCCACTTCCCTGTACTGAAGTACTAATAGACAGATCATCATAAATTACATAGTGCAACAACATTAGCAATAGTTACTGTTGCTGCACTACTGTTTATCAATATACAACAGTCCCCAAACCCTCTCTGCTAGCCCTCTCCTCACTGCCCCTGTGTTCCAATACTGTGCAATAAATGTATCTAAGCCCAATCTTTTTCCTTTTTTCCCATTTCTCAATCATCCTGAATCATTACATCAAGATATACTGTGACTAAACACATACAAGCTTCCCAAGGTATTCAGCTTTCATGACTTACCAACTCTTACAAAACCTTTCACTTTGCAATATAGGGGTACTTTTGACTTTATATGCAGAAGTATAAAATTTAGGGCACTTCTCCATAATAAAACTAAATGCACATTGCCTCCTTTGCATTTCTGCAAAAGCCAGCAAACCTCCTCCAACATATCTACATAGCAAAATGAAGTTTCCTCATTAACCCAGTCATGTCCTGCCCTGTTCTAAGTTGTGCACAATAGACAGCCATGCATTTGTTTAGCCCTGGGTGCATTCACTGAGAAATAGCCTTTCAAATAGTATTCTTATAGCCTCTTTTTAGCTTCATTAATTATACAATCATTGATCCCACAGCCATAGAACAGAGATCATGGTACCTCTAGGTTTCCTTTGTTTCTATTGTTTTCCCTTAAGCAGGCGACTCTGCATACATCCTGGCAAAAGCATTGTTAGGTATAGCACTGAAGGCTCCCATTGTCACTGGGCTAAACAATAAATTATAGAAAGTCTCCAAAGTTTATCTTACAAAATCTTACAAAATCATACAATTCTTCCTCATTTTGCTAAAGGAACTCTGGCTGTGTAAGAGTAATGTGGAATTAGTCTCTGCGTGGCGCATAGCACCCTAATTTTCGTCTTTTAACGGTAAATATGAGGCCGCTGCAACTTAAACTATGCTGTATCCTACCCAATTCTTCCGCTCAATGAGATGGCAGTGTCCATTTCCGTTCATCTATGCATGTCGGTCTCTAACCTAAACCACCCGTTTAGTAGACTTTATGCCAACTTACAGAAAACTCAACATTAAGAACTCTGGCTGTGTGAGGGTGTTGTGGACAGTGAGCAGTGATATGCAGCAGATTTTTTCCATCATTTTAAAATAAATATGAGGCTGCAGCTGCTGTACCTATTATCA